TGGCCGCTTGATTCTTCAGTCAGCAAGGGGGAGAAAGACAAGCAAGATGGAGCTCAGGTTCTTATGGGATTGCATGATGTAATCACATACATTCCACAACAGTTGCCTCATTTCATTGGTCCACACTCAAAGGTAGAGGATTGCAGAAAAGGGTAACACCAGAAAGCAAGAACCACCTTAAGTTCTGTCCATCACAAATATTTGCCAAACAATTTACTGTGCCACAGCAAGTGAGAAAGTATCTACATGTTAAATGGTAATGACGGTGGCACCAACTTAAGAAAACCACTCACGCATATGAGCACCAGAAGACGCTGGAAGATGGTATTTGGGTGCTAAGGCAGTTATAGACCAATTGAGAAGAAAAGGTAAATGTGGGTTGCAGTAGTTAAGAAAGAGTTCCAGACAGTGAAATTTGGTTTCTTTGACTTACTAGAAAAATGGGGAGAAGGGTATAGAAAGAAAAGGAGAGGTAGGAAAGGAAGGAAAATATGAGCCAATTCATCTTCCTCCCCTTTGGCAGCTTCTCTTCTTTTGCTCTAGACGGTATAGTCCTCTCCCCTTCCTGGAGAACACGGAAAGCCTGGCCTGTTCATCTCCTCCCTTTGATCTTCCTTTTCTCTCTGTCTTCCGTGGGGAAGAGAGTGTGTGCCAAGATGGTGCCTCCTTATTTTAAAAAATGAGTGGTTAGTTCTCCCTTGCTTTGAATTCTAGATCTGAAAGCTCTGCCCTCTGAAATCTTTCCAGATTTCTTTTGCATAATTAAAAATGCAAATGTTAAAGTATTTTTACCCCATAAAGAATTAATCAGTCACATCACAAACTCTGCTCTCTCAGCATGTGCTCTTCCAGAAAGGTAGGTCAGAACCCAAGCCTGCAAGAGGGCAGCTCCACACTCAGTTTAGACAGATTGGAACAAGAAGACAGTTGAAGAGGACCAGCCTATTCGTACAAGGCCCACCTACCAGCTTCTTGATCTGCTCATCTCTCAGTATGCACAGGGCATGGGTTCCAGGACCTCTCGCACACCGAACTCTGTGGATGCCCAGAGCCCTTCTATAAATGGTGTCCAGTTTGGGTGTGGGCCTGCACAATCCTCCCATGTGCTTTAAATCACCCCTAGACTACTGTATCTAATGCAGTGTCAGTGCTAGGTAAATAGTTGAAGTGCTGTATCATTTAGGGAACATGGCAAGAAAAATGTCTGGACACATTCCGCGCAGTTGTTTTTTCGAACTGTCTTTCCATCCACGGGTGGTTGGTTCTCAGGGTCCGGAAACCATGGATGTGGAGAGGCAACTGTTTGCATCTTGGGACTGCTGCCAGGGGACCACGAGCCCTCTCTTCATCCGATGCAAGTAAATAACCTAGGGAAGCAACATGTAGAACAGCCTGCATCTACAGAATATAAAGTACAGGCTACAAGATAGCCGCCAGCAGACCTATTGTGTTTGCCTTACCTAGAATTTTTAAATAATAGTAATAAGTCCACCTTTAAATTTGGGGCAAAAAAAATTATATTTCTGACTTCTCTTTTTAAAAATTGTAAGGCAGCACCAGGCCTGTGACCCCTGTTTATCACAAAATGTGAATGGTGGCTCCTCATGCAGCAGACTCTCCTTCCATCTTTAGTTAATGGCCATGGGGCTGTTGGAATTTGCCCCAGCCAGGAAGCCTGTCAGCAGCATTTTCAAAGTGTTGTCTGAACACCACCGATTTCAGAATGGGTGCAGGTTCTGGCCCCTGTGCTAGGCTGGCTGAGTCAGTGTTAAAGATGAGCCTCCGTGACCAGTGGCTTTAGCCAGCTCCTGGGTGTCGTCAGGCACACCGTGCATGTGTAGAAACCACTGCGACCCAGTACCGGGAGGTGCTGGGTGAGCAGGCAGTGGGGCCATGCACTGCGCAGCTCCTGCGCCCTGCGGAGAGCTCAGGCCTGCATATGCCTGAGTGCTATTCCGGCCTGCCTCTGAGAGGACAAGGTCTGATCTCGCAGGAATGACAGGGAGGATCTGGGCTCCGGGCAGCGTGGGCCTGCATTGTGCTTTGCACACTGGGTTAGGGGTCTCTGCAGTGTGGGATCCTGGGACACTTCCTTGACACACACACACTCGTGCTCTCCATTTGAGCCCTAACACCAGTGTGCAGGAGGAGGCAATGTGTTGGTATTGGGCCAAACTGTCCTTTGTGTCTGTTTGTACAAAAGAGCATCTCCAATCGTCCCTATTCGGATCTAAATCATGCAGAATATCTGGAAATCATGCTTTACTGCCTCCCCATTAAGAGTTTTATTGTCTCACCCATCTGATTGATTTAGGTGCTATTTTTATTATATTCCTCACACACAAAAAGAGCAACTTGATTTGGCAATGAACCGAAGCTGATTGGGATGTGGAGGGATTAGTCACTGTTGCTAGTGAATGTTTAAAATTTCCTTTAGTTTCATTGGTGGAAGAGCTTTAGAAGCCCACATTTGAATTATTGGCCCATCACGTACTGGCCTGAGAAGCAGCACCGAGTACTGCAATGGTTTCATCTCCTAAAGCCAGGATTTCACCTTCAGACTGCCAACTGTTGTTCCCCAAGGATACTTGACAGTCTTCCAGTCTTTGGAAATCATCATCAATCATGAAACCATTGCAGCCTGTTTCTGTTTTCCAAGTTCAACACTGAAAGTGGCTTTGCTAGTCTTCGACAAGCCAGTCAGCTTTCTCTAGAGAAAGAGAGCAAAGGAAAGGAGGGGGAGACAGTAGCCTCACTGACTGCTTTGGGAATAAGGTCAGAAGTGACTTCCAGAGCTTGTTTTTTACTCTGAAAAACATCGAGGTCAACAGCATTTAAAACTAAAGATGCTGGGTCAACTTTCATGGTTGGGAGAATGGATGATTTCTTAATGACAAACAACAGGAGGTCAGTTTTCATCAATGGCTTGGACTTCAGGAGCCTGACAATTTGTAGGGTTAAAACTATGCATCAAAATAATAGAGAAGTATTTCTGGTTAGACGTGTAAAATACTCTGTCAGTCAGGCCCCCTGCCATCTTCCCATTAAAAGCTATGATGTATGCTAGGAACAAAAAAGGCACAGCTGGGAAAGTGGTGGTAACACTTAATGGATGCTCACTCTCCTCTCTCTTTGTCTTGGGGATGTGGCGACCCCCATCCCGATACCATCCTGGTTTCATGGACAGAAGAAAGAGCTTTACAGATTGGACATTATACTGGGCACCCATCATTGAAAATTTATGTGTTGGGGCAATATAAGTTGCTGCACATATTTTTTAAAAGCCCATGGGAATAAGAACCTGTCTACTCCAAAAGCGTGGAGGGAAGTTTTGACACTGTACCTAGTGTGGGCTGAGGCCTCATGCTGCCTGACAGCACATTTCACATAACTATTAACCTTTAATGTTCTCAGGCTGATCAGCTCCAAAGATCTGCCAGCAGAAAACACTGGGAGGACAAGCTTTCATTGACTGGGAAAATAATTAAATTGGAGGTATTGTCAGGATATTCCAGAAGCACTAACGAAATTGCTAGAAACATGAAGGAGACAGGGCCTGTTCCCAATAGATTCACTGATGAAAGACCACTCCATATTTCTGGAAGATGTTCATATCATAGTCCTATGAATACATATTTTGTATTTGAGATTTTAAAACCTTTGGAATTCTTCACAATACAGGGAAGTATTTGAAGACATATGTCTGTCAGATCATTTTGTATACTCTAGTTTGGCAGATTTTCTCTTTTCAAGCTACCTCTCCCAAATTACATCTCCCAGGAGGATGTGCAGACGACGGAGCTCATGCACACACTGAGTAACCAGGGCAACGTGTTTTTGTGAGGATCTCTGATCTTGCGATAGCTGGCAGGTTCCTATCTGGCTGGCACCTCAGAGGGAGAATATGATCATTTCGAGGCTGGGTTCCTGTCCTGCACAAGTCTGAAGTTTTCTTGGGAAGACAGTGTATACCTCGTGTGCTCAAGTAGCCTTTGATGCAACTTAGTGTCCTAGTGAACGAATAGACCGAAGGGGCTGTGAGACTTAGACTGACTTAATTTTAGCTATTTATCTGTATTATTCTTAGTATTAAAATCTGTGTGGTTTTAGAAAGGAGGAACTTTGGAGGCTGATGCATTGGTTTGATACTTTGGTGACACACGTGGTCTGGTGTAGAAGAGTTGTAGTGTGAGCCAGCAAATCTGGATTCTAATCCCACTTTCCCCGCTGCTCTGCTGGGGGACCTCAGACAAGCCACTCTTCTCGAATGTCCATTTCCACATTTGTGTGTGTGTGTGTGTGTGTACATGTGTGTGAAACACTACCTTTTGTACCAGTCGTTTAAGATCTTCGTGAGTATAAAACAAAATTCAGTGCTTTACAAACAGAAAGTATCATCATTATTAACTAAGTGGTTACCTCATGTTAACGCCAACACCTGAGCTTATTTTTTTAAATGATTTCTATTTACATTGTGAGAGTTACATTTTGTTCATAGACCTCTGCTGACTCATGAAAGGGAACTCCATGTAATGGTGTTATGAAAACAGCACTGTGCATTTATGATGATCACAACTGTGATATTTAAAGCAAAGTTATTATCTCCATTTCATACATAAAGAAACTTCAGCTCGGAAGGATGAAGTGCCCTCGTCTAAGTCATGTCCTTTGCAAAACAGATTGACTACCAGCACTTGACCAGGATTCAGAAAGGAAACACAGCTTTGAAAGGACAGTGTACAAAGCAATATGCTGTATAACAGCAAATATATGTAGCAAAACGACTGCACTGTTTATTCCTTTAGATAGCCATCTGAAATAATTTCAACATAAATCCTAAGAGCAAAATGAAAATATTTTAAATATGCAGATACTATATTAAAAACTCACTTCCTCTTAAATAGCGTCACTCCATAGCAAGTCGCCATTTTTCCTAGCAACTGCACTCCACGGACAATGCTTCTTAGGGGTGTTCATTGTTGCCCCATCTCTCTTTTCAGCAACAGATCAACTCCTAGCAACCACGATCGGATACAGCGTCTGCGACAAGAGTTTCAGCAAGCAAAGCAGGATGAAGATGTCGAAGATCGGCGACGTACCTACAGCTTTGAGCAACCCTGGGTAAGCACCAGTCGTTCAGCACACTGCAGTAAAGGCCCCTGAGCTATGACCTCAGTCTTTTATCAAATGAGACACGATGGAGCCAAATTCCTTTGACCTTTAACATATTGACCTTTTCCTCATTTCCGTCTGAGTTTCATCATTGCTAATTTCATTTTATGTCTTGTTCCACCATCTGCCCATTGCATAACAGGTCTAATTAGCTGTATGACAAGACATAGCGAACGTATTCTTGTTCTCTGCTATGCATTTTTATTAAGTTTAGAAATATTTTTCTGTAGATATATCTTTCTCGGAATCAGAGCCAAAGCAAGTTCAAAACATATCTGTTTATGACTAATGGGCACAGAATCATTGTTTAGTAATCTTTCTTTCTTTTTTATGTGTGTGGTACTGTGGATTGAATACAGGACTTTTTCACTGAGCTATATCTCAGGCCCTTTTTAATAGTTTTATTTTGAGACAGGGTCTTATTAAGTTGCTAGGTTGCCAACACTGGGCCCCAGCTTGTGGTCTTCCTGCGTGCTGGGATTACAGGCATACAGTGCCATACCTGGCATAGAAAGTTGTGATTGTTTATGCTCCCTGTTTGCCCAAGAGTATTTGTTAAACCCCTCTCATCCATTTACATCTCTCTTCTACTCCTTCCTCTACACAGCCATAGAGTAATCTTTCTAGAACAAAACTTGGGTTGGTTCTCTCAATGCCAGACCTGTGTCTCCCTCTTGAACTTCACCCTGAATAATGGCACCTCTGGGAATGGGGGTGTAGGAGCAGATGTGCGAGTATGAGATGATGGGGATTTGAAGAGTAAGAATTTCTTTGGAAAGTTCAAGACTGAGTCACTTTGGGCTGAACGAAGTGGGAAAATCCAGTCCTGAAGCCCAACCTTTACGAGCACGTGACCATAGCTGGCCATGCTTAGAGGACTGGGAATAACAAAAACAAATTTGCAGTTTAATCTACAGCGGAGGCTGGTCAGGCAGGGCAGGCGGTCCAGAGCCTAGTGAGGACCTGCTGAGGCCGGCCCTGTGTGGGAGAGACAAGGACAGTTCCGGGAAGGGTTATCCTGCAGCTTGGTGCAGGCAAAGAGGCTCCAAGGTCTAGGGATCACCAAGCCCACGAGGTTGTGCTCAAGATCCTCTAGGATCTTGAAGGTAGCAAAGTTTTGGATGTTTGTGATCTGAGTGGCGTTGTCTATGCGTGTGCGTTACAGGGGCAGAGGAGAGAATAGTGTCCAGGAAGTCGGTTGAGTCCGGTTTAGACAGAGTGTTGGGAATGTAATTAATGTCATAGATTCTTGAGAGGAGAGGGTCCGAAGGAAGAACGGTGCCAGAAAAGACTTGAGGTAAAATGGATGATCCAGTCTGGGGGGAAGGATAAACAGCGCAGCTGCAGAAGGACCCAGAAGTCGGCTATGTCGAAGGAAGTGGGGATGAAAGGTGGCGATGCGGTGGGAGCCTTCGATGCTGGAGTGAGAGCGGGAGAAGACGGTGCCAGGTCCGCTAGTTAGGCGGCCTGGCTCCTCAGGCTTCGGTTTCGTGTTTTTAAACCAAGAAAATTAGAGTGGGTGACTGTCGGTTACCACACGCTGTGGCAACGTGAGGATTACAGAGGAAGCTGAGCGAGAAAAACGGAGCGAGCAGAGCTCCTCTGGGTGGATGTCGGCGACTCCGCGGACCCAGGTGATGACTGCCGCGGGTCGGAGCGTCCCCAAGTGCGGTGCGCAGCCAGCTCCCGCGGTCACCTGGACGCTTGCGGCCCACACGCATTCCAGCCCTGCTCCAGACCCGCCTGCTCCGTGCTCAGTTCACTCTCCAAAGTGGAGGTGGGTTCAGCCTGGAGAAGCGCGTTCTAGGGTCTGATGGGTCCACGGTCCTTTCTTGTCGTGATAACCAGCAACCCCGGAGCGTCGCATAGGGGAAGAAACCTTTAAAGGTTTCTGACTACGGGATTTAATGATCGTATTAGAGCTGAGGAAGACTCATTTGGGGGATTAAAGGAGAAGGAGAAAAAGTGGGAGAAACTGCCCGGGAAAGGCTTCCCCTTAGTGTAGGAAGGAAGATGCGGCCTTAGCGCAGGCCCTGTGGCAGCTTCCAGAGTCAAAGTGCCTCAGGGAATCAGTCCTAGGCAGGACTTCGGGAAGTTATAAAACAAGTTCACCAGTCCAATGTCTGAGAAAATCTACAACTATCTCCCGCAATAATACTGTTAGGAATGGTATTTTCCTAAGGTATTTATTTTCCTAGTTGATGAAGTAAATGGAGTCATTTCCATATAGCAACAGGACAGAGCTATGTCGACCTAATGATATTATGGGATATAATTGGTTCCATCTATTCCTACCAGGTTTATTACAGCAAGGTTCTTTGGTGATGCAGGGTAAATCTCCTCTTAACTATGTATGTACGCGAAGAGGCCGGAAAGGGTAAGGGACGCAGTGTCACGCTGAAGGCGAAAGCAACAAGTCCAGGTGGAATTGGCGCATGCTCTCTCTCTCTCACACACACACACACACACACATGCACACACACGCACGCACGCACACGCACAGTTCCAACCTGGCAAAGGCCCACCTGGTCTTACCATTCCTCACAACCTACCATTAGCAGCAGCCTTGGCCATTTTACTTCCCCTGGTAATGTGGTTGTCAAACCAGCATCTTTGCAACATTTGTTCTTTAATGACTTAATTCATCAGACTTACTGAGTGCTTACTGTGTTCCAGTGGAGCTAGGAAGATCGTCCTTAGAACTCTATGGTCTAGCTGCTACAAAGCAGAGACACCTTGTGTGGTACGGAGGGATGTGGTAGGGTATGCTGGGGCCAGGGTGCCCAGAGGAGAGGCCCTAGTAAGATTTGGGTGCACAGGAAATGCTGGAAGGAGCCCCTCTCTGAAGTCAGAATATGCAAATTGAGAAACAGAGAAACATATCTTTGGGGACTAAGGTCCATGAATTTATTTCTGATTGGCGACTTTGTTATCTACATGCAGAATTCCAAATTTGATGAGCGTTTCCTGCTTCTTAGCTCTCGATGTTTTTCATTGAGAGAAGTAAAAATGATTTGAAACCTATTGCAGGGCTTTTTGTAAGATTTTTAAAATAAGGACACTGAAGATACTGACATATTTCTATGTTATCCACCTACTAAGCACAGTCACACTAGAGAATGCATTTGGGACAGTCTTGTACACTTGGGAACTCAACCACTGAAGGTCCTGGGCCAAGTTATTGTGTATCAGAATTGCCACTGCAACTTCAGACAGACAGTGTGGCTATATTATTGTTTCCTCCAGTGAATGAGCGGGAAATTATTTGGATGACAGGCTGATTACCTAAGAAATGGACTAATTCCTTAAATGGCGGGTCAGAAGTTGACCTTTTTCTCTTTTTGTTCATTTTCAAACAATTGGGATCTTGCTGTGGACCCTCCATCGTACTGATCCTGTAAATCAGCTAAAGGAACTGCAATTTTATTTACTATATTCATTTTCATACCAATTCTGATCATTACTTTACTAAGAGTTGCTTCTCAGTTGTTCAAACTGCAGCTTAGTCTATGGTTTCCTTAATCCATTTGGCAAAGTGCGCTTCGGGGCTCTTGGACTGACTCCTCTCTTCCCGTATGTAGGCTGACCTTGCAAGGTCGTTGTGTTTGGAAGGGAGGAGAACATGATCTCACTCACTGGCGTGGTTTGTAATCATTTTAGGGTTGAGGAACCGCAGATGCATCTCCAAGCTATGTACACAGCTTAAACGGAATTAGCTGAACTTATGTCTGTTAGAAATGCCCACACACAAAGTGCAACCAGATGTGTCAGAGGGAAAAATATCCATGCCAGTTACTTTATAGACAGAGTGGGATGCAGCAGAAAAGTCATCCAAGTGGCCCTCTTCAGTCCATCTGTTTTGAGCATGTTCTCTAGAACTCCTGCAGTACCGAATGCACCTGTTCCTGGGCCTTTGTTCAGAATAATTTTGGGGCCCGAGGGAGCTGATTTGTGGCACAAGAGGTCTTTAGATGAGCAGAGGCCCAGAAAATTTCCTTAGCTGCATAACTGAAGTGAATTCTCTCCCACGTTGAGGAAGAGAAAAAGGAAAAGCAGCTTCTTCCTCATGTAGTGCCAGGTGCAACCTAAATAAAGCAGCAAGTTGATTGAAATCTTTAAGATAATGGGACAATGGCTGGGGTTGGGGTTATTATCACTGAGCTCCAACATGGACAGGACTTAGTGCTGCTTTTAGAAGAATTAAATTGCCAGCTGCACACATACATACAGTATGCTGTTAAAACTTTGCAGATACCCGACATCGCCCACACGGAGGCTTTCGGGCCGAGACGGCTGATAGATGGGATAATGGAGCCTTTAATAGCCATATTGCTAGGTCCTTTCCATCCCAGGTCAGTAGTGACTGAAAGTAGTTTAGTCCTGCAGGTAAAAAATTGACACTCCACATGTGAATATCTTCTTCATCCCCCAAGCATGCTCTCCTCCTAAATGTCTGTCTTTGAACCACAAAATCTGCCCAGGCTCCCTTTGCCTGTCCTCTCCTTCTTACCCTGTTAGGGGTTTGCCTATTTAATTGGTAAGCCGCTCTGTCGCCCCACATTGCCACCCCTGTGCCTGGGGAATTTGAGAAAATTGTGGCCTTTTTGTTTTCGTCCTTTGTAAGACTTGAAAGGTATCCGCTGTCATCTCTTCATGACAGCTTTCATGCCTAGGCTCCAAAAGGGCTCCATGTGCAGAGCAAGCTGGGCGGAAGCCCCCTCCCTTAGGGGCGGACCTGGAGAGAACCATTCTTACAGCAAAGGTGCTCTGCGCCCACGCTCAGCCTCTGCCCTGCTACACAGTAGGTCGCTTCTTAACCTGTGACCCGCACCCCAGGCCAAACCTCCAGGTGCATCTGGCTGGTTCTGTAAGACAGCAGCCCTTTCACTTTCAGCAGACCTGTTGGAAAAGTAAAGTTGATCTGAGCACTGGTAGGAAAAATGAGGTGAAGACAGTACCGTGTTAAGACCAGATCATGCATTGATAAAAATCTTTATGAGGGAAATAGGTTCTGCAGATTTTTTTTCAGCCATTCCTGAGATCCTTAGTAGAAATGAAGCCTTAAACTATTCAGAACTCTAAACATGATGAGGTGGAGGACCGAGAAGCCAGGACAGACACAAGTTAACTTTACTTTGAGAAAAGTTGTAAGTTACTGTAGAAAAGAATTGTTGCCAGGCATGATGGTTCATGCTCGTAATCCTAGGACTCTGGGAAGCCCAGGCAGGAGCGTTGCAAGTTCAAGCCCAGCCTAGGCAACTTAGCAAGTCAGTGAGACCCTGTCTCAAAGTAAAAAAATGAATGAAAGGGCTTGGGATGTAGCTCAGTGCAAAGGCCTTGGGTTCAGTCCCCAGTACTGGGTTGAAGGCAGGGGGAAAAGGGGAAAATCATTACCAATATTAGCAATAACCACTTTTCAGCATAACAGTTTACATTCTTTACATGACTGAGTGCCATAAGAATTATTTCTGCCATATACCAAATCTTTAAATTACCACTTTTATCAATATGAAATTCCATATTAGGGTTTCATTTGAATTGCTAAAATAAGGATTATAAATCTTAAAGTAAATCTTGTTTTTGTTATTCTTTTCATCAGTACCATGATTTTCATCATCTTCAACATTAGGTTTTCATCTAAAGCACAGAAACTTTTTGCATTTTATTTTTTGTTTTCTGGATATGCTCTTGGACATCTGTGAACATTTGAAGATTTTTACGATTCTCAGTTTAGGTAGACAACCTGCTCAAAATGCTCATTTATAAGAAGGCTTACGTGTATGTGTACGTGTGTGCACACTCATGCTTATACCCTATCTTATCTGTAGGAAGAAAAATGATTGTGTTTTTAAATTATAAAATATTTTATGTAAATGTTAATAACCCAGTAATGATTTTATTACAACATACTTCTATAATAAGCTATAGAAAAGTCTTACAATACTACCTAGTTTTAAATAGTACTGTAATTTTGTACTATGTGTATTTTTATTCATTACTCCACTGATTGTAATGATTTTATTTGTGGGTTTTTTTTTTGTATTTTCTCAATTTTAGAAAAAAGTATGATTTTAATTAATTGAGAGAGATGACCTAATTCAGTGAAATACTATATGGAAGCTATTTCTTGTATTTTGCTTTACACTAAGTGGTAACAAAAAGATATAGCTTTCTCAACTTTTAAATCTTGTGATAATCATGATAAAGTCAGGTGTTTTGCAGCTCATTTACAAAAGCAGTGTGTGTATTTTTCACTTGTGCTTTTAAGTGTGAGCTGTATTTATTTCTATTTTAGGGCTTCTATTGTTATTCCGGCCTTGGCATCCTTAGCTATTTTTTGACTTGAAAGGTCATTTCTTGTAACCAGTTTCATCACAAACAAGGCTCAGTTAGTTGTAAATTGCACTGTTAAAACAGAGCTTCCCTCATTGTCTGAGAATTGAACAGTCGTCCCAATTATGCCTCCTCCGCATGTATTTCCCTGTTTGGTTGTGAGTTTGTTGTCCTAGTCATTCGTGGTGCTTTGTGTGAAATCCGTGTACTTCTTTGGGAAGTCTAAAGCTTTCTTTTCCATTTTTGTGGTTTTGGACTTAGATAGTTGATTCTCTTTCTGCCATAGAAACTGAGACCGTAGTATTTAAGAGGCAGGATTGTTTATTGTAAAGCTGGCCACATAATTTACATGTTCATGCAATCTTTGTTAAAATCATGAAAGAGAGAGGTTACTTTTTATTCAGGCCAAGTGTAAAACTTGCTAAAAATGATTTTTCTGAGTTGTTGCTATGGACTGGTCATGGATATGATTTTCTTTAAAATACATGGCCCATTAGAGTTTCTTCTTGAAGATAAAGGTCGTTCTCTCTAACCTGCCCTTATTTGTGCTCTGGAGAGAGAGAGAGAGACAGAGTAAAATTTAATGGGGAGGCTGAGGTTTGCATTTCATCATGGGACCATGAGAATATGAAACATGTCAGTTTTCTGATACCAAACTCACTCGCTCCTTAAGTTTACAGCCCTGCAGCCTGATAATTTCATTACTGGAGCGCATCGAGACCCAAGTCGATGCCTGCAGCTGATAAACTTTGAGCAGAACAGTGTCAGAAAACTGAAGTTGAGGAGAGGAAACAAACAAAACCCTCCAAGTTTTTTCCTCTGTCAGAATCAGATTTTCAGGCTGCTGGGAGAAACAACTTAAAAATACACCTGAAATTTCCACAAGACCTTGCATTTTCTTTTCACATCTCCACAAGCAGTGTGTCACCAAACAGCATGAGCTTAAAAAGCGGGTTACTAAATCGTGCTGCAGAACGCCAGCTCCTTCAAGACTGCTAGACACATGGAGATAGCTGAAGCTGAGGGGAGAGGAAATGAAAATGTGGCCCCACCGAGGGGGGATGGAAATCACGCAGTATTTTCTTGCTTACTGCTCCCTCTGTCTGTTCAGGGGTGAATCGGGCTTCCCGTGGCTCATCACAAGCCACACAGCAGGTCGTGGCCTGTTTGGCCAGCCTCACCTCCCGTAACGGGGGAAATGTCTGTCTCCTGCTATGGAGGTGATGAACAGTTGCTTGATGCTTTGTTTGTATAAGCAGAAACTCACTCGGTGAAGTGTTTTTCTTCCTAAAGGCACCACGGATGTATTATTTGAACGGTGCTGTGGAGTGGGTCTCCGAACACACATTTGTCCCAATGAGTGTGGTTATAAACATCTACTAGGAGAGACTGGGGTGTTGTAAAGCCTAATCTCTTCACACATTATTTTTGTATCGGGATATTTTTAATATGCTCACGGACTGTGCCCATATGCTTGGAAATTCTTGTCCTGGATATTGCCTCATTATTGCCTACCCACAAGCAAGAGAGTGCTGGCCTGGCAGAAAAGGAACAATGGATACCACTGGATTTCTGGACAGACAAAAGCCAACTGCAGCCTCGGTTCTTCAGGTAGCCAAGGCCTGTGTTATCTTAGGCCTCTCCAAATGAACTCCAAGCCTTGAGAAGATGATAAGTAAATCAGAGTCTGCCGCTGACTTTCCGCTCCACAGGAAAATCGATGGCATGTTTTTAAGAGACACTCTTCACGTAGAATATGCCTGTTGCACCATGTTGCTCAACACAAAAGGGGAACAGAGGTTAGCAGGGGCCAAAAAGGGTGTCTTAGGAGCACCTGCCACCAATGGAGTGACACGCCAGTGCTGTGTTTTCTATAACAGTTGAGTCGTCATTGTCTGTGTTGAGCAGAGACATTTCTGAAGGCCCCGTTTAGCAGGTAGGCTGACATGTGGCAGGGAGAGACGGGCACCGCAGGATTTCGGTCCACACTGTACTGTACGTGTTCAGAGACCTGATTCTGGTGGGCAGTCCCAATCCACCTGGCTGAAGTGGCCAGAGGGATTTAAAATTGTTCTCTAGGCTATGATTGACCTAGGTAAGATGCCATTTCCTGATAACCAGGGGATAGTTCATGGTCTGGCCGCCAGTACAAAGAGCTGTTCACTTGTGCGTTCATTCTTTTGGAGTTTCCGTTCCTCATCTGGCTGCCATCCTTGGATTGGAGGAGACCTGTCGCTGGCTAAGTTTAATTTTGGTTAAATTTCAAAATTTAGCTGTCCTAAAAAAGAGGAGGAATCAGCAATACTGTATTATATTGCTTGACTGAAATAGATGGCAACCCCAGAGATTTACCAGCACAGACAGCTTTCAAGTGCAGACCTGCGAATTCTTCGCTTTTATTACTGTAGCAAATGTGTGTATGTACGTGTTGGCTTGACCTTCTGATATTCCCTCAGACTTACTCTCCTTGTATCTGCTGTAGATAAGAAGGATATAAACTGCTATTTCATGTCCATATTTCCGAACCCTCATTGAGATTATAAGCTTGCTCTCTCCAGGTGAAAGCATGTGCCAAGGCCCAGTCACAATTCACAGTGGCATATCAGGCTCCGAAGAGCGATAATAGGCCTCTTTCCCTAAGAAATGTGATTGGGAGGAGGGCTGGATCTCACAGAATGTGCGAAATGCTTCTAAGTCAGTTTATAAGATGCAAAACAGGCTGGGGAAGTAGCTGGGGGGCAGAGCACTTGGGAGCATGGGGACGCCCTGGTACCATGCCCGGTGTTCGCGGTGCGAGGGCCAGGCTGACCAGTGGCGTGTCGGAAGCTCTGCCATGCTAACGAGCTGTTCCTCTCTCCCACAGCCCGGCTCCCGGCCGGCAGCGCAGAGCGGCAGGCACTCCGTGTCCGTGGAGGTGCAGGTCCAGAGGCAGCGGCAGGAGGAGCGCGAGAGCTTCCAGCAGGCCCAGCGCCAGTACAGCTCCCTGCCTCGGTAGGTGACACACACGTGCACACACACCCGGGCCTGGGGAGCTCTTCCTTCCCACCCGACGGTGAGAGGCAGCTCAGCTGGTGGAGAGCACATGTTTTGCACTAGAAGGACAGGTGTCTCCCGGGATGCCAGCACCTGCACCCCACAGCTCCCTGGCCCAACATGGGGCGACGGGACCTGAACACCAGGCTCGGGTCAGATCTGGTTTCTAGTATGGGTTTCCATGTGGCTGTAGAAAAAATGGTGCTCATCTGAGAACTGGAGAGGAAACTGTTCTTTTGTGCAGCCCCTGGCATGACTAGGATGAGTGATGCTTTATTCATCCAGAGCTCTGTGAAAGGAGAGATGCTTTTGTGGGGTCAGTGATGGGAAACCTCACTGTCACTGTTCCGCTGCTTGTGTGGTGCCTCAGCCGACAGCCAAGTGGAACAGGCTTGTCTGGGGGGCTCCCCGGGGGGGCCTCTGCTCAAGTGTTCTCCATCAGAGGACTGAAAGACTCACTGGCCTGGGCCCCAGAACAGGAGCCGACAGCCATCTTCCCTCCCAAGCATTCCCTCTAGGCAATACATAGTGAAGAGCAAGTGCTGAGAAACAGTCAGCTTTTCAGACTTCCCCAAACAAGTCGCTCCTATAGTCAGTTATTACAGACAGTTGTTGTCCTATTTCAAAACCAGGTGACAGTGACATTTTGAGGGTCAGAAGATCCATGTGCCATGCTGATGTCAACTGGACTCTTGGATCTGAAGGAAACAGTTTCTGGGGGAGGCGGGTGCTTGTCTGTGTGTACCTGAGTGACGCGTGTGAAAGTGATTTCGATTCACTTTCTTATAAAGGGGAATCTCTTTAAATGTTAAATCATCGCTGTGACAACCATGAGGAGCATCACACTGACAAGGGTCAACTGAAAGAACATGGCACAGCTATGAATGAAGTCTCCACTAGGAGGACAGCCATCCAGTACGACTCTGTATCCATTCAGTTGTTCATGTTTAATCCATAAGGCTGTACCTCTTACCTTTACAAAGGAGGATTGTCCAGAACAGCTCTGTAGCCCACTCTGGATGAGAGTCATCGAAGGTTAGTTCTGGACAAGTCTTTGGCTGTCACGTTGTTTTGCAAGGAGATAGCTCAGAGAAATCATGTACTGTCCCGCAAGGTCACACAGTAAGTCCCTTAGCCGGAACTACAACCCAAACCTGCCCGTGCCCTAAATCATTATTTTATAGGGCTCATTGCTACTCAGGGCTTTTGTTCCCAAGTTTAGGTGTTTCAGGTAGAAAGTTCCCCTTGGAGCTCTGCTGCCCCTAGAGCAGTGGTGGGGAGACCTGGCTTACGAGCCGACAGAGGTGTGCGTGCCTGCAGCGGCATGAGTGCCATCAGTTCTCCACCACTGCCCTAGAGTTTGGAAGGGAGCCACTTATGACTCCACCCGGTGGCTCCAATGCTAAGCGCCCAGCCTGCTCGGCGTGGGTCCCGTCAGGAGGTGCACATGGTCCTGAGGGTGAACCGACACCCGGGTGGCCTGGACTCCAGGCACAGTGTGGCCATGGCACCGAGGGCTCCTGTGAATGGAGTCCAGGCCCTCTTCCTCAAGTTGTGGGCTTCATATGCTTCCTCGTCTAAGATTGTTTCTGATAAAGGAAGGGAAATACAGAAGGCCGAGGAAAGGAGGTAGGAGAGAGTGGAGGGAAGAACCTGGCTGGCAGGCAGTCAGGTGGGGGAAGAGAGACAGTGGGGTCCCCATCCCAGGGAGAGGAAGATCCATGTGGGCCGTGCCGGCTTCCTCCTGGTCACCATCCAAGTAGCTTCAATATTCCAGAGCTGGGCTTTCACCCAAGTCTCCTTCTCCCCATCGTCACCTGATTTTGAAAAACTAAGGTATTTTAAAAATGGATACACAGCGATTGTATCACACTTAAGGGGCAGAGGGTGACATGTAATACATGGATACAAGGGTAATGATGAGATCGATCGAGGTACTTGGCACATCCGTTACCTCAGACATGTGTCAGTCCCTTGCGTTTGGAATATTCAAAGCCCTCTTCATCAGCTGTGTTGCAACATCCAGTTACCCGACTGTGCCCCTTCCTTCCGGACGCCTCCCTCCCTTTCCCCTGTGCATCTCTCCTGATCCTCTCTTCCTCCCTCTCTCCCGAAGCACCTGTGGAACCATCCACATGTACAAGCACAGAGGGTTGCTGCCACTATGGCTAGTACTACTGCCGTTTTGTAAGCACTTCCCACCAAAAAAATAAACTTTCCCTCTGGGATAATTGCAGCTCCCTATTTTTAGTCATTTGAATCCGTTTAGATAAGAGAAGCAGACGTCCCCAGAATAGAGTTATGTAAGTGTTGGCGGGAGGGGCTGGCAGCCTCCTGCATCGAGTTCTCCTCTTCTCCCAGCAGCTTCTCAGTGCAGACCTTGGTCCTTAGCACAGGGCAGTCGGGGAAGGGGAGCCCACCGGGTTGCTTCATTCCCCCCTGCCAGGTTTCTGGAATGTGCTGTTCTTCAGAGACACGCCTGACCTCTACTTTTCAGATGTTGATAATTAGCTGAGTTTTGTCCAAACAAGTCAGTATGGCAAGTGAAACCAGAAAGATTTCACACACACATACACATGCACTTATACACACACGTACATTCATTGACGGAGTGGAGCGTAAGATAAAACAAATGGTCCGGGCTTTGTATCAGTTGCATTTGATAAGGTGGTTTGAATTAGAGGCTGTGTATAAGCCAGGCAAGTTTGTAAATTGGAACCATAATGAAGGAAATCCACGGGCAGAGTGCGAGTCACATTTTGAAATGTCGAGGAGAAACCCTAACCAGGTAGAAGCACTAGCTTGGGAGGAAAGGGGACCCCAGTGGCCCCACACTCGTTCTCAATCAGACCAGGATTTTTCTTTTTTATTCCTAAATGACTTCCTCTCCTCAGTCTCCACAGGCAGCTCTGAACTGAGCAGAGGCACAGTTGCTGATGGGAAGGAAGACTTCAGATCCTCGGTGATCCTACCCATAGGACCCTTCAGATCCTACCCATACCCGCACCTCCTCCTGCTCTTTCCCCGCACCTTGCCCGCGTGTGCCTGTCCTTCACCTCCTGCCGTCTGCCCCTGAGAGATCTCCCCTCCACGCCTGCAGGCTGTGACGCCTCAGGCCCAGAGTCCTGCACTCAGGGCTGGGTCTTGGGAGAAAGGCCTGTGGGCCTTTGTGGGGGGAGTTGTAACCATCAGAGGGAGGACTTCCAAGCCTGGGTCTGTGTGCTGAGTGGGTGCGGAAATCTCGGTGGGCTCACTGCAGGACCAAGCGGCCTCGGTGTCAGCTGTAGAAATCCAGGGAAAGGAGACCGACGCTTTGTGGCCTTTGGCTGGGAAAGTAGGAAGAACAAGGGTCTCCAAGGATAAGCTTTTTCTCATCCCCACAGAAGTGTCTGTGAAGTCGCCTCCTTTAGTGCAGGCCTAGTTGCTCTCCGATGCCCACTCAGCTCCATGGTCTCCACACAACACTTCCAACAAAGGAAGGGAAAGTTTGACTTTTTCCTTAGCTTTTAACGATGTCCCCACCCCTCCCCTCACCCCAGAACCTGATCTTTGAAGGCAAAGCTATTTTGTCTTGAAACTGCTCCTCCGGTACCTATGTGTCTGTCAAAGTGTGCCGGGCACTTGGCTAAGTGCTTTACATGTGATATTTCATGTGTTTCCTCACAACCTTGCGAGGTGAAATATTGTGTCCATTTCACAGCATGCATAACCTCCCCAGCGTCACACAGCTGTCATGTGCAGTAGCATGAGCTGCTGCTATGTCTGTCTGTTCCAAGCCCCTCTCCCCCAGGCCCTGGTGTCCAGGTTCCTAGCGTGGGAAACTCTTCTGTCTTCTTCTCTTGGTCTCCGCAACTGGCTTATTTCTCATTGTTTCCTCAATCAAGAGCTTGTTCATACCAGTAGCTTCCTCACCAGGGAAGTGCGTGTGCGTGTGTGCGTGTGCGCGCGCGCGTGTGTGTGTGTGTGTGTGTGTGTCTGTGTAGTTGCATTAGGCCTTATTCAAACCTCAGGGCAGTCTGCTTCCTTCTCTCTCTACTGATTAATTTGAAGGAAATTTTAGCTACAAGAAATTCTTTCTCCCACATCCTCATCATTTCCATCCCTAACCAACCTTAGAGAATTCACAGTGTATTTAAATACAGACTCTGTCTTCCCGGTCCATCCTGAATTCAGCTCACAACTCGTAATGTGAGGCTGTGGGCCTCGTGGATTGGGAGGAAGAGGGTTTGTGGGTCTCGGGAGACCAAGGACGAAAAAGAGGTGAAATTCCTGCAGCCGATTTCTCATTATTTTTAAATTGATAACTAATAAAGGAATCCACCCCTCTTGTTACTGTGATATCGGTAACAAGTTCATTGTTTTAATTAAAGTTTCATGATGAATGTCAAATCCCTGGTTTTGTGCTGACACTTTCCATCATTCATGTCTCTGGGCAGATTAATTGATGACTTTTTAAGTGGAGATAATCAGTGCTTTAGGCAAATAAACTATTCCATCAAATCTGGGTATTCTTGCTCCGGCTGATGTACACAAGGCATGACTCCTAACTAAAAGAGAGTGAGATAAATACACTGTTTTCTGCTAGTTAGATACCCCAGTGGTGCTGAGCATGAAGTTCACTTTGCATTTTGAAAACCTCGCTGACACTGGAGAGGCCATATGGAAAATGGGTAGATTCCACCCCAGACTGCATTGCCGGCCCTCCAGAATGTTCCAAGTGCAAATTGCTCCGTTCCTACGTGAAACCCAGTGGCTTCCAGACCTGGTTTCCGCCCACAGACAGGAGTCTTTGAACATCCAGCCGTGTGTGTCTATTGATGAGAACGACTGAGCAATGCATACTGTCGCCAAATGATTTTCTTATTGATAAATGGAGCCATATATTTTGCTTTATTACTCAGTTGTCTCTTCCACCTCTTTCAAGGCAAAAGAATTAGGGCATGTCTTCCTTCCTGGCACAAAATTGTTTTACTCTATCATAGCCAATCTTATTGTAAACTCATAAAAGCATCTAGAGACTTGATGGTAAATTAAAGATGTTTCAAAACAATAATGTTTCATGAAAATCATGTGCGGTTTTATTGCAGAAGTGATAAGAATTTGAAATTTCTAGATGACTCTGATTTATATCCCTATCCTAGGAAGACAGCAAGTGAGTTAAGCAGGTTATCCCGGTCTTTGATGGCGGTCGAGTGTGCAAGGAAATACCGCTTATCCTCTGGTCCCAGTGGGCAGGGGCCCCAAGACGACCACTTGCTGGAAGGATGGCCTGTTGCATTTTTCATCACAAAGGAGTCTAGACGTAAATCTTTCATAGCCGAACTCATATTGTAGTCCATTGCATGCACTTCATATTGGCGAGCGTTTCTGGCATGGTGGTGCCAGCTGTGTAAAATACTTGTTTTGCTTGTTTAGAATTGAATTGTAACATTCTAAAGCAAGCAGAAATTAATTCCTGCTGCAGGAGATGCTGCCAGACCTCCAATACTTCCATACTGGCCGGCGAGTCCGAAGTGCAGGAGAGACTGTCACCCTCCGTGGAACAGACAGAACTAGCCAGGCTCAAGAGAAGGGCCCTGCTCCTCAGTGGCCGGTGCGCCTGCCTCTCTCCTGCCGTCCCTATTTGTGGGTTTAGCTGAGGCGTGAGCTGACCTAGGACAGCTGCTGCTGAATTCTCCAGCACAGCGTCAGAGGCGCGTGCGCGGAAAGCGGTCCTGCTCGTGAGGCGTGGAGCTGCACACTCCCCGTCACCCCCTGCCCTCCTCCCGGCCCTCACACTGACCTGTGGCCTTTGCTTTCCAGGCAGAGCAGGAAGAACAGCAGCTCGGCGTCCCAGGACTCCTGGGAGCAGAACTACGCCCCTGGGGAGGGCTTCCAGAGTGCCAAGGAGAACCCCCGCTACTCCAGCTACCAGGGCTCCCGCAATGGCTGCATGGGAGGCCACGGCTTCAACGCCAGGGTCATGCTGGAGACCCAGGAGCTCCTCCGCCAGGAGCAGCGGCGGAAAGAGCAGCAGATGAAGAGGCAGCCCCCGGCTGAAGGGTCCAGCAGCTATGACTCATACAAGAAAGCCCAGGACCCCGGCTGCCCCCCTCCCAAGGGGCCCTTCAGGCAGGACGTGCCCCCGTCTCCCTCTCAGGTCGCCAGGCTCAACAGACTCCAGGCTCCCGAAAAGGGACGGCCCTTCTACTCCTGAGCACGGGACAGCGATGCTTCATGCCATGCAACAAAGGACGCTTTCCTACGAAGACTTGTATTTTGGGAGTTTTTGTAAAAATCCTCAATGGTACTGTGGAATATTTCTGTTGTTGGTTTCAGTGCCTTTAAGCAAGATGGGCAAAGAAGTAGAAGGCCTTAATGTCTTTGCCACTGCATCTCAAGTGTCTGGTTCATGGGAGGATTTCCACCCTGGTAATCATCTGTCCGAGCATCCGTACACTCTGCATCTCTCTGGAGTCCCAGCAGCCCTGGCCCCAGGAGCGGCACGACCGTGGCTTTGTTCCTACAGCCAGCAGCCCTTGGGCTGAGGCGTCCTTGGTCCTCTTTTCCATCCACCGTCTCTCAGCTCTGAGGCAGCATCTCAGGGTCTGGTGGGCGAAAGTGGGCAGCTGCACCAGAATTTGGGGCTTCCTGGGACTTCCCAGCACAGCCCTTTGTCTGTAGTCGGAGAGACTTTTTTTTTTTTTTCAGCTCCCTGTAACAGGAATGGCCCCTCGTTCTCTTAAAGACACGAAGCCATACTCCAACACCGTCTGGTTATCGGGGTTGCTTTTGTAACTGCCTTATAACGAAGCCATGATTCAACTGTGTCTGGTCACCTTCTGACATGTGTTGAGTCAACAGAGCCCTGCACTGGGAATAGGGGGCACAGGAGTGGCCTGGGTGAGGACCCGGCCTGCCCCGGGGAAAGAAGGGGCTGAGAAAGGAATATGCCCCGGTGGAGCTGGGGCCCAGTGCCCTCTAAGCATCATCTTAGTTCCTTTTTGTTGTGGCAAGAAGGGCAGAGAGCGAGACATATGTGAATCAGTCACATTTGGTTTGTAAGAGTTGAGCCGCACAGTTTTTGAGGTTGGGCGGAATTGTATTTGCCTAGCACATTCACGTACCATATCCCTGCCTGGTGATACGGTGTTCGTAAATAATTCTGCCGTGAAGCATAAAGGGAAAATCAGGGAAAAGCCATTCCACGTCACACAGAGAACATTTTGTATCCCAGAGCAGTGGTGTCAAAAGCTCGCTGTGGTGTCAGTACTGTAACGCACATGTGGGTCGCGAGACCCCGAATGCTCCCCTTTTCCAACATGTGGCTTGAATGTCCTGGATTGTAAACCGTGCTGGGTTGCTGAAGTGCCTGTGAATCCCGATGTGAAACAAAAGCTTGAGGCAAAAGCTCAGAGCACCATGTATTAACAAAAAAGAAAAAAAAAGATAATGTATTGTATTGATCTGCCTATTTTTTTTTTAACTGGCACATTGTATTTTTGTGTCCACTTGGTTTCAGGAAATGCGTGAAGTGTCCACATGTACCTGCGTCTCCTTTGCAGCCCCGTGTACTGGCTGTATTTGCTAAGATGGTCCATGGTGTCCCCGAAGTAGGAGCGTAACCCTGGATGATAGCGGCTCTTTCTCACAGCCCTCAAAGCTGCGAAAAACAGCTTTCCTTGTACATACGAGACTTCTAATAAAAGGCATATTTCTTCCTGCTCTTGTGGAGTGTGTGGTTTTTCTGTGGAATCTCCTTGCTGGGCTGTGGTGGTTTTTTTTTTTTTAAAGTTTATTAGCAGATGTGATTTTTTAAAAATATATATTTAGTCAAAGTAGAAAGTTTCTGCATCTCTCTCTGTGTGCAGACACACAAATGGGTGGTGGATTTCTTAGGGGGAACACCAGAGACGACAGAGGGAAAGATGGGAGCCCTTCAGCATGAGACAAGTAGAACCTGGGAATTCGCAACTGAAGGGGCCAACGCTCTAGAACTTGGCAAAAGGAGACTCGACAGAAAGCGACATAGCATTTCCAGGGCTCCCCTTTGCTCCCTTTGGATCACTTTGTGAAGGCAACTATTTTCCTGGAGCCCCAGCCTCACAAACTGCAGCCTGGAGAAAAGCCCAGCTTTTAGGTCTACTTCCAGTACTAACCCGGTTCTTATTTTCCCGAATCACAGCAGTAAGGCTTTCTATTTCTTCGAGATAGACACTCATCGGGGTTTGGGTGGTGTTTTGTAAACATGGAGGACAAGCCTTCCCTAGGCATGTGCAAGGCACATGGGACGTGCAGTTCCCACCTTGAAAGCTTTGCAGGGACCACCCAGATGCCCTGTGGATGGAATGGCCAGCACAGCGGGTTCTTCCAGCAGCCCCATCCTGTCACTAAATCTAAATTGTGTCACCTCAAGCTCAGTAGCCAGAGGTGCACGGCAAGCTGAGGAAGTGCCACCTCCAGCTCTGCCCTCCATGCCAGGTGTAGAAGAAGAGAAAAGGGAAGACAGACAGACTTGTTAACCTTCTCACGACCCATTGCCAGTGCACAAGCACATAGGTTGTTTATCTCAGCTGACAGCAAGGAGCAGAGCGAGAAAGGTAATATTGAATTGCGGGACCTAAATCACAAAGGCATTTGCGGATTAAAACTGACACGCCGAGCTGCACCAGGAGGGGGCGTAGGGACAGACCCGAGTCAGCAGAAGAGTGAAGCCATGCTCTATCGATCATTCCTGTGTGCAGGAACCCACATCCGGGCCCTACATGTCACAGGACTTAGGGTCAACTGGGAGGAGGTGTCCCGAGGAAGAGCCACAGCACCCCAGAGAGCAGCCCCCGTCCCATGAAGAGGGAGAAGGGAGCCCACACTCCAGGGACCACAGGGAGGAGATGGCCCCACCGTGATGTTATCCCCACTCAGTCCATGAAACCATAGTCTTAAATATTTATACTATAAATGGTAATAATAGAATTTTTAGCTTCATCTCACTATAATGAAATATCTGGCACAGGTTAATGTTGCAGTAAAGAGAAGTTCATTTTGGCTCTTGGTTCCAGATATTTAGGTCCAAGACCGGACAGGCCCACTGGTTTGGGCCTCTCACGAGGGCAGCACATCCTGGTGTGAGCATCTTGAAGCAAGGGCTGAGAAATAGAGGAAGAGCCCAAGGTCCTGAAGTCTGCTTTGAAGGAACAGCCTGGGGCCTGAGAACCTCGAACTAGGCCCTTCTCTGCTTGTGTGTGTGTGTGTGTGTGTGTGTGTGTGTGTGTGTGTGTGTGGTCAGTTTGTTCTTTGAGGCAGGGCCTCACTATATAGTCCAGGCTGACTTTGAACTCATGATGTAGCCCAGGCTTAGGCCCACCACCTCCTAATCAACACAGCCTGGCGATTGACCCTTTAACATATGGACCTTTGGCAGATACTCATCCAAACCATAGCAACAACATACATGCATTATATGAACTTTAAGTAATTCCCCTCCACTGTGTGGTCAGTTAGAACAAAGGCAGCTCAGAGGTCAGGGGACAGGGTTGTCCCCCAACAGGGTGGAAGAGTAGGACCTGGCTGTCTGGGGCTTTCTACCAAGGAGAGCAAACAGAGCAAGTCATGGAGTCATGGAGACTAAACCAAACGACCCTTGGCTATTGTTGAGCAAGGCAGCTGCTGTTATTCCTACCCCTTCTGAAAACAGGAAATGCAAGCGGACTGACCCCACTGTCTGCAGTGTCTTTCATGACCCTCCCGGATGGTGGGCCCGAGGAGGAGCTGGCACAGGTGAGAGACAGGAGTCGCAGTGGCTTTCTACCCACCTCGTCTTGCTGGATTCCCCTATGTGTCGAAGTCACCCTGAGCCATTTTTTATCCAAAAGCGCGCATGCTTGCAAGTCCCTATATTGGGCATCAATCAGTACATTTGCTGCGTGCATCTGCAATTCTGAATTTGGTTACCTGAATGGACTCCTCTTTCATCCTGTGGGTCCTGAGAGCTCAGGTGTTGCCCACCCCCGGTCACAACCAGGGTAGATTAAGCAGGTACTTTGTTTCTGGCTTTGTTTGCTAGCCCTGGGAGAACATGCCACTAAGGGTCTCCTGAGTACTTCTGAATAAGAAAGGTCCCTCCCTTTGGATGCCCTTAAATTTAAGTCTGTTTAACAGTCAACTTTTTCCTTTTATTTTCTTCCTTTCTTTTTTGTTTTTGAACAAAGATTACTCTGATGATGACTGTCAGGTGAGGAGATAATCTTCCTTGCTTCCTTCAGAGACAGGATATCATCTTAATAAGGCAGCTAATAAGAGCATTCACAGGTCAGCGTGAGAGATGGGATGCTCTAATGGAAATCCACCCTCTGCTCTGGTAATGATTAGATCACAAAGGCTGGCTGAATTAAATTGACTTTTCAAAAAGCGGTGGGGGCTGATGGTTGTAATCCTGAACATAAGCTTTCTCTTCCCATTTTCAAAACCAAGAAACTGACATTCTCCTGCAGAGCTCCCGAGTCAGAGGCTGATTGTTGTTGCCCAAGTAAGCAGGAGCTCCTTTCCCCATTAGCTGTCTTATCTCCAGTTACTTCCGGCCAGCGATCTTCCCTTCCACTCCCTCTTCCAAAGCTTTCATGTTTCAATCGACAAAGGGAAAATCTATGGGTTTCCCTTGGCCATTGATTGCATTTTTAAGGTAAAATCCTATAGGAGGGAATTGCACTTTTAAGAAATTCCATTGTGGATGCCATAAGATTAGGAATTCTTTTCTTCAGCAAGTACTCACTCTTCACTGTCTTTTGCCTTTTCTGAGTTCAGATTTCAATGATCTGTTTTTATTTTCTGATTTTTTTTGAAAAGCCAACTGTCCACCTTAGGCTGCCTCTCTTCAGATGTGTCCATCGAATCCCAGATGCAGAAAACAGAATCAAAGCCCGGGTCCTGGCCGGTCCTCTGGCAGCCAACCTAACAATTAGTCATCTTTGCCTGGTGCTTATTTGCTCCCAGGATCAATTAAATGTGTGAAAAACACCCTTTCTCTGACTTGCTCAGTGAACTGCTGAGTCACCTTACACTCTTGCTGGCTTAGAAAAACCACTTGGAGTCGACTCCTTGACACCACTGTCCCCGAGATCTGACTCTCCTAGTGTCACCCACCAGGCATGTCCCCTGCTAGAAGATGGCGCCATCGCAGGACCCACCCTGTGTCTCTAAAGGCAAGCACTGCTGCTGGTTGGAAGAACTCTCCTGATCCTGAAGCTTGGCTCTCACCAGGGATTTTATGATGCACATATTTTAAGTGCAACTTTGAAGGTTTTGCCATTAAAAACAGTCTCCTGGGGCTGGGGGCCCAGCTGACTGCAAACTGCAAGGGGGACAGTGCCTTGTATTGCTCTCCAGTGACAGGAAGGAGACAACACAGGTTTCTAAACCGGTGCTGACCTCCACTAATGACCGGGATTCAGGGTTCGCTTTGTATCCAACTTGCTTTTATTCAGCTCTTGCTGTCAGCAGCCACACATGGATCCCAGTTGTTTACGGGGAGATGAAATGGGCAGAAGCGACAGCCCGACGCTGTGGAGATGGATCCGATTAGGGCTTGCCAGTGAATGCAGGCTACTTTGGAAAAAAGCCACTCTTTGAACTCATCATGTGAAGCCTCAAAGTGACTTTGTCCTGCGCGTGCCCCACGTGCAGCTCCATTCCCAGAGTTTTCTGGGTTTTCTCTGCCTGGCTTTATTTCCATCCAAGCCCACGGAGCTCCCGCTCTGGACCCTGCAGCCAATGCATTTCCCCAAGACCCGAACCCACAATCGGGGGCAAAGGCTGCCTCTGGCTTCCCACTTTATTCAGTGATTTACTCCTGCGGCCCTTGACAATTTGCAACACACTCTCCTCTTTGTTCTTTGAGTCCCGGGACGCTGAGAAGCAGCTTGGAGAAATGATGGCCCAGTACTGCACCCAAGGAAACTGAGACCCACAGGAGTTTGTGACTTGCTGGTTGTGAAGTGGCTCAGCCAGAACACAAAGCCCAGTTTCCTAACTGTGACCCACTGTTGTGACACAAAGATTTTATCAAAATAAGAAATGGAGCCGGGTGTGGGGGGACCCGCCAGTAGTCCCAACACCCTGGGGGGCTGACACAGGACGATCAAAAGTTCAAACCAGCCTGGGCAACTTAGCAACCCTGTCTCAAAATAAAAAATAAAAAAGGGCTGAAGATGTTGCTCAGTGTGCAGGTCCCGGATCCCATCCCAGTACCACCAAAAAAATTATATTTTAACAATTTTAAATTCCTTACTTAATGATAATTACATTTTTGCTGATGGGGAAAATAAGTGTGACATAATATATAAAGAATCATGAAATTAGTAATGACTTGAAAATAAATTATTCATCACAATACTATTTATATACATTTGAAAATTATATATGTATATATGCACACCCATATTCATCTATACATACAAGGGTGATCGAAAAATATGAATATTTAAATTTAAAATGATTCTTATAGTAAAAGACACATTGCCTTTAATCCCCCTAAAAATGCTTCCCTTTGATTGAAACACACTTATCCCATCATTTGTTCCATTTCCTGAAGAGGCTCTGAAAGTTCCCTCTCATGATGTCTTTATGGGGTCTGATCAAAAATACAGTGAATCCTGCTGCCGAGTGCCATCCAACAGAAAGGCAGGCTGGTGAAAACATGACTGTGTCTCCTCATCAACCTTATTCACTGA